TTCGTACAGTTAGTGAGTTTCCTGATGTTTTTCCGGAGGAGTTGCCTGGGTTACCTCTTGATAGAGAGGTAGAGTTCTAGATTGAGACTTATCCGAGATCTTCACCTATTTCTATGGCACCTTATCGTATGGCTCGAAAGGAACTTAAGGAGTTGAAGGTCTAATTACAAGAATTATTCGATCGAGGATTTATTCAGCATAGTACCTCACCCTGGGGAGCTCCAGTTTTTTTTGTGAAAAAGAAGGATGGGTCGCTAAGGCTCTGTATTGACTATCGAAAGTTGAACAAGATGATAGTCAAGAATAAGTACCCACTACCCAGGATTGACGACTTATTTGATCAGTTGCGAGGAGCTACTGTATTTTCTAAGATTGATCTTCGTTCGGGGTATTATCAATTGAAAGTTAAAGGATCTGATGTTGCAAAGACGACCATTCGCACTAGATATGGTCATTATGAATTCTTAGTAACATCTTTTGGTTTGACGAACGCTCCTGCAGCTTTCATGGATTTGATGAATAGTTTGTTTTTACCATACTTGGATCAATTTGTGGTTGTCTTTATTGATGATATTCTGATCTATTATCGTACTGAGGTGGAGCATGACGAGCATTTGAAGATCTTTCTACGGACTTTGAGAGAGCATCGTCTATATGTCAAACTAAGCAAGTGTAAGTTTTGGCTTCAAGAAGTGTCATTTTTGGGGCACATTATTTCTGCGCGAGGTATTCAGGTTGATCCAAGCAAGATAGAGGCTATTGGGAATTGGAAACGACCCAAGAACGTCTCTGAGATCCGCAGTTTCTTAGGCTTGGCTGGATATTATCGACGTTTTGTCGAGGGTTTCTCGATCATTGCTGCTCTTTTGTCAAAGCTGTTAAGGAAGAACATGCTATTTGACTGGGACGAGGCACAACAGGAGAGCTTTGAGAAATTAAAGGCGGTTTTGACTCAAGTACCAATGTTGATTCAACCAGAGTCTGGGAAGGACTTTACAGTGTATAGTGATGCTTCACACTCAAGAATGGGTTGTGTTCTAATGAAGGAGGGTAAGGTAGTGGCTTACGCGTCCCGTCAACTGCGACCGCATGAGTGTAATTATCCGACCCATGATTTGGAGTTAGCAACAGTGATTTTTGCCTTGAAGATTTGGAGACACTATCTTTATGGAGATAAGTGTTACATTTTCACTGATCATAAGAGCTTAAAGTATCTTCTGACCCAGAAGGAGCTTAATTTGAGACAACGGTGCTGGCTAGAGCTTTTGAAAGATTATGATTGTATGATTGATTATCACCCTGGTAAAGCTAACATTGTAGCGGATGCATTGAGTCAAAAGGTGATAACGGAATTAAGGTCTTTAATGGCCTGGATGAACTTATATGACGATGGCACTCTATTAGCAGAATTGCATGTTAAGCCGACTTTGGTTGATGAAATTAAAGCTAAGCAGCCCCTTGATAGCTTCTTGCTATCCATCTTTGAGCAAGTAGAGCAGGGGGCAAGCTCAGATTACGCCCTTGATCAGGATGAAGTTTTATGCTTTAAGGGTCGATATTGTGTGCCTGACGATGCTGAGTTGAGGCAGATTATTCTTAATGAGGCTCATAGTAGTCCATATGCTATGCACCCCGTTGGAGATAAGATGTACCGGAATTTAAGAGAGAGGTATCATTGGGTTGGCATGAAGAATGACATCTCGGATTTTGTGGCTAGGTGTTTGACTTGTTAGCAAGTTAAGGCAGAACATCAACATCCATCAGGATTGTTACAGCCTATCAAGATTCCTGAATAAAAATGGGAGCATATTACTATGGATTTTTTTACTGATCTACCTATGACTCATTCGAAAAAAGATTCAGTCTGGGTAATTGTTGACAGACTTACAAAGACAGCTAACTTCATTCCTGTGCGGGTAAATTAAACTTTGGACAAGCTGGTGAGGTTGTACATTTCGGAGATTGTTAGATTGCATGGTGTCCCGTTATCTATCATTTTAGATCGAGATCCGAGATTTACTTCGAGATTTTGGAAGGCGCTACATACGACTTTGGGTACGAGATTGGATTATAGTACATCCTTCCACCCACAGACTGATGGTCAATATGAGAGAGTGATTCAGATTCTGGAGGATATGTTGCGGGGCTGCGTAATTGATTTTCGTGGTAGTTGGGAGAACTTTTTGTCGTTGGCTGAATTTGCTTACAATAACAGTTACTATACCAGCATTCGTATGGCACCCTACGAAGCACTCTATGGGCGTAGATGTCGTACTCCAATTTTTTGGTTTGAGTTACGTGATCGGAAGACTTTGGGACCTGAGTTAGTGCGCGAGACGGAGAACACGGTCAGATTGATCCGTGACCGTTTGAAAGAGGCATTTGATAGGCAGAAGTCTTATGCAGATCAGAGGAGGAAAGATATCCAGTTTGAGGTTGAAGATCATGTCTTTCTAAAAGTATCTCCGTGGAAGAAAGTATTGAGATTTGAGCATAAGGGTAAATTGAGTCCAAGATTTATAGGTCCATTTAATATCTTGAAGAGGGTAGGACCTGTTGCATATCAGCTTGAGTTGCCTCCCCAGCTCAGTCGTATTCATGATATCTTTCATGTGTCTATGTTGAGGCAATGATTTTGTGCTCCGTCGTCGAAAATCAAATCGGTGTCCTCCGACGACGTAAACCCGACCCTCAATTCCACGTATTCAACCACCGTTTGGCCGAATCGAGAATAGAAACTTCTTAAGGATATTTTAAAGCGATATGTTTTTCATCTCGATCTAGTTCATGCTACATATCTATGACCGTTTACTGTGATTTTTTATGAACGAAGGGTTGATTAGTGATGAGGCGTGTTCTGGGTTTGTTGACCGGCCGGTGAAACTTCTTTGCTCGTTTTATCAATTGGGTTATTGAATTATTAAATAATTTTTAATAATCATTTTTTTCTTATCGTAAAGAGAATTATCTTGGATTCGAGTTCATATATTTGACGATATGGGTTTATAAGAGGAAAATTTGAAAGCCTCGGGTGTTAGTTTCGTAATTAATTTATGTTAGGTGCTATTTCGATAAATATTTTTAAAATAGTGCTATTTTCGTAATTATTTTTAAAAGAGTGATATTTTTATAATTATTTTTAAAATGGTGCTATTTTCTTAATTATTGTTAAAACAGTGATATTTTGGTAATTATTTAAAAAATAGTGATATCTTGGTAATTATTATTAAAAGTGTGATATTTTGGTAATTATTTAAAAACGATGATATTTCGGTAATTATTTTTAAAACAGTGATATTTTGGTAATTATTTTAAAAAAAATGATATTTTCGTAATATTTGACTTATGACTATTGAACACATTTGACCATAACTTTGACCGGCTTTAACCGGCCATAAACGACCTTTGATTTTGTTCGAGAATACATATTTTGACATTTTTAGACGTGCTGAATCCGTTTCCGAAGTTTGTTTCGCCAAATTCGAACCCGAAGGCCTCCAAATCATCAGTTAAACCCGTTGACTTTGACTTTGACTTTGACCAAGAATTTGAATTTTTGAAAAGTCATACTTTATGTTTTTCGACGCCCTAGTTCCGATTCCGCAATCCGTTTGGTCAAATTCAGACTCGAAAGCCTCTAAGTTAATAGTCAAACTCGAAAAATGCTTATATACTTAAAAGTTTTTGCTTTGAATAATTAAGTATAGCTTAGGACTAATAAATTATTATTGTTTGAAGGTACAAGAGATTCTCCTGATAGTTGGACAGCTCGACCCATCTCATATAGATCAGTTAAACCGCGTGGGCCTATATGACCCGTAAATCTTATGAGTTTAGAAATTAATTATGTTACCCATTAGTAATGTAGTGTTTTATGAATTAGGTTCGAAAATTGTAGCAGAGCGTGGCGAGGCCAGTACTCAGTAGATCTACAGTTTGATCCTATCGAGGTGTGTTCCCTAAGTACTATTTAATTATTTTATCTGTTTTGAAATATGATACACTGAAATCTATGGTTTACTGCTTATTGATACACCGACTTACTGGTGATGATTTATAGACTATGACTGATATATGATTATTGGTTTTCACTGATATATGATAACGATGATTATGGATTTCTGAAAATTATGTTTACTGCATAAATTGTATTTTTAAATACTGATTTTGGGTTGGATTGAATTACGGAGGTATAGCTCTGATCAAGCTGGTAAACCTTACGGACCTAATGTGACTCTTGGGTAAGCTCACGGCCCTCAAGATGCTCCATTAGGTTGGCTCCTTTTTGCTGTGTGCTTAAAGTAAGGCCTATGGACGCAGTTCTGCGAAACTGCGGATGGTGTACATGAGATGGTTTTAAACTACGAGTTTCAAAAGTTAAATTTCATTTTGATTTTATGATGATTTACTGAACTATTGTTCATTTTTTGGTAACTACTATGATTTTATTGTACTGTTGGGACACACTGAGCCTAGCTCACTTTTCGAAAACGTTTTTCCCTTTCAGATACTGTTGGTTAGATACCCCGGATCAAGCACTTGGAGGATCAACATATTTCTTGAAGTATATCTTATTGTAATATTTTTATATTTCAAGTTGACTTTTTTTTTTATAACATGGGCCTTTATTTTGAAGTATTTGTTTTAGTAATGACTATTGCTTTCGCTACTGATATTTGGTTTATGGTGATCTAAATTTTTATGTCATGTTTTAATTAAATTTTAAGTATTTTTATTTATTTATTTTATATTTGTGGTTTGAGCATTTTATAGTATAAATTATTATATTTTATAAATGTCATTTGAAACATGATTTTAATTATCGGATAATGTTTTAGAAAAATATCTTTAAGAATTATTAATGAAATCCGCTAGACTTAGTTGAAACGCATAGGCCGGGTCTAGGGGGTTACAGGGATATTATTTTTTTAAGGAACAATTGGATGAATAAAATACAGCACAATCAGAGATGGAAAGATATGTCTCGGACTATAGGGAAGTTATGATAACAAACCTGATTAATGTATGGCTCCATTTGATGCAATAATTAATAGCCCTATAAATGACCAAAGTTATTCGTGAGCAATGTATTCAACAAGTGATTGAAATTTGAAACAATGAGAAAGAAATAGAGAAGTCATGCCATGCGATAACCTGTTTGAAGTATCGAAGATGCACATCCATAGTCCCACTGACAGCTTCCAAAAACTCAAATCGTTTTTTGGCTTCAACATTTGAAAGAGCAGTTACCTGTAATTGTAAACCATAATAGTGTAATTACAATCTTGAACCAATTTAAACTATCAAAGCAACTTCAATTTAGAAATCATCTGCTAGCAAGTCACTCACTAGATTAAAACGAGCTTGCTCAAATGTTGACCTTGCATTATGAAGTTCCTAGAATAATTCCAACCATGTCAGACTAAAATATCCATCAACATTATATCTACGCAAGTAAGAATGTCAGATACATGAGATTATAAACCATTAAAGCAAGCCATTTTGCAAGATACCTCTTCCAAAACATTGGCAATATTACTCTTTGTACTTTTTCTCAGTGAAAGAAACTTTTCACGAGCTTGTAAGATTACACAAAGCAATACAATGTAACAATTAATTCGATTTTAGGCCAACTCCAAATTATATTATCACATTCAATCAATGAAAATAAAGCAAGCTAACAAACTACACAAGCAAAATAAATTTAAATTCTAAAGCACCTGGTCGTAAATGAGACTAGCCTTGTCCAAGTGTTTACGTGCTTCCTACACTCAGATGAGATATTTTAAAACAAAAAGCTTACAAATAAAAAATACATGATCTAGAATAATACACAGATTATAAGAAGTTGGATGAATCTATAGCAAAGTGATAAATAAATAACCTATGTTTCTCTTGATAAGAATGTTTTTACATAAAAAAAGTTAATAAGGCAGCCCAGCTTTTAGCTAGCTCCAAATCCTCACAACTTTATAGGGTAACTTAAATCTCAATTGAGAGAAAGGCATTTACCTTGACCTCAAGTAAATCAATATTGACAAACTGCAGTAATTTGTCATTTAGCTCGGTTTCAACCTAGAGAGAAAAGAAAGCATTTCACAAATATTATTGCATGTTAATATGATTGGACAACAAACTATATAGTGTCAAAGTTCAATATAGCAGTAAAATTTATATTCTCACAATTTTGAAAAGAAATGACAGTTTTATAGAACATAGATAGTTTTAAATATCCATGAAGAAAACAACCAACAAAAGGTTAATTACTACTGACATTTTTAAATGATTATCATTTCCTTTCACCAGGTATTCACAACAACAATTGGAGAATGCCAATGAGTGAGTTTATCCAAAACTAGTTATCTTAGGTCCTTACTCCTCAGTAATAAATTTGAATTCATGTTAAAATGATAGTTCAGAGAACTACCTGGGACCAAACTTGGTCATAACCGGCCCTAAAGAAGCGAAAAAAGGTTCAATTACAGATATGATTCCAAACCAAAATATAATCTAAATGTGATGTTAGAACCGAAGAACATAATGAAAAAGCTTCTGTAGATCGAAAAAAAATCAAACCCATTAACAACTGCATTTGACGGAAAAACAAATTTGTTTCAAGAAAAAAAACATTCTTATGTGATTGATTCTAGACATCCGAATGAATATCAGGTTAAATTATATTTAAAAAAAAGGAGAAGAGAAATTTCCTTGCAATTTCTCAGTTGCAAAAAAAAAATGAAAGAATAAAAATTCCAACCTTGAGGGAATTACAGGGCTCTAAGCTTCTTCTCGCCTTCAATAGGGGAAGGAATTCTCATCTTCAGAAGGGCTCCAAGCAAATACCTAATACACCAGAAGCAGAAATCAACGCCAAATCGAAGAAGAATAAGATTTTGTTTCACCAGAACCAAGCGGAGAGAATGATATTTTAGGAAGCAGTAGACGAGAATAAGCAAATACCTAAGGGAGATGGGGGACTAACATTCTCGGGGAAACAGAAAGAAAAACACTGTTGGTATTAATTTTTGACTGGTACTTGGGAATGTGGATAAACCAAACATAGGTATCTTTAAACCGGAAAAAAACATTCCCCCCATGAATGAAATATTCCGTGAATCAAACGGGGCCTTATAGTCGAATCTATTCACTTACCAATCCATCAATAGCCATCAATCCTAGGACTCTCTGACTGACACTAGCCATCCTATTGCTTGGCCAGTAACATACATACTCTCACATGCAAGGCTGAATGAGAGGATATTCAACTTCACCCTGATTATTAACCTTCTTTTCAATCATTTTCTCTTTTTTCTCTCCGGACTACCACTGATTAGGGTGCTCCGCTCAATTAAGATGTTGTCACATTCTTACTCAGACCATCAACAAGTACATGTATCGATCTTGTCGAACAAATAAAGATGTTTTAGGTTTGTTACGGTATGGATTTTATTTAGAGGAGTTGTTTAGTTGAAATGTTAAACTTGTTTGTGCAGTGACTATTTATTCAAGCTTTTGCTAATAGGAGACTCTGGAGTAGGCAAATCGTGTCTTCTTCTGAGATTTTCTGTAAGCTTCCATTGTAACAATTAACTTAATAGTACTGTTTTTCATCTATTTATGTTGCTTACTCATAAGTTTCCTACATTCATCCTTAAACAAATTTCCCCAGTTAATTAGGCATACGATGGATGCATGTTTTACCAGTTTTGTAGTGTCCAAAAACAATTTAGTGCTTATCAGTAAATGATCCCTGCAATCTGACTGCATTTTCTATCGCTCAACTACAGGACGATTCATATCTGGAGAGTTATATAAGCACCATTGTCGTCGATTTTGTGAGCATTTCTGATCCATAAGTGAAATTAATCCATCTTTTTATTCGAATCTTTCAACTTATATGTTTGTTCTATGCTGCACAGAAAATACGCACCGTGGAGCAAGATGGGAAAACTCTAAACCTTCAAATTATAAGAATCTTTCCTTCTTTATGTCTTCACCATAACATCCTCCATTCTTTTTCTGTTGCTAATCTAGCCTACTGAAACATGCAGTGGGATACTGCAGGGCAAGAACGGTTCCGGACGATCACCAGCATCTACTACCTAGGGGCACATGGCATTATAGTAAGTTCCCTTTTCGGCATTCGGTTTTTGCATGTCACGGATGAGTCTGTAATATTGGTTCCACATCTGGCAGATAGTTTATGATGTTACCGATCAAGCGAGCTTCCACAATGTGAAATAATGGTTGAACGAAATCGATCGTTATGCGAGCGGGAATGTGAACAAGCTTCTGGTCGGAAACAAGTGTGATCTTACCGATAAAAAGGCGGTTCCTTAAAAAAATAGCCAAGGTAATCGTGGTTCAACTCTTTGTTCTGCATTATTTTCATGAACTATCGCACGGTCGTATCCATAATGTTGTGTGAATAGGCCTTTGCAGATGAATTTGGCATTCCATTTATGGAGACTAGTGCAAAGAATGCTACTAATGTGGAGCAGGCTTTCATGGCAATGGCCGGTGATATTAAGAACAGGTAGTCATTGCTGATGAAACATATTAAACTATGGTTTACTTTCATCTCATCTTCGGGAAAACGTATATTCGTTCCAGATTCCGATTACTATCCATTTTGTTTTGCTTTTTCTCGGCAGGATGGCGAGTCAGCCGGCGGTAAACAATGCGAGGCCGCCGATGGTGCAGACACGAGGACAACCTGTTAACCAGAAGACTGGTTGCTGCACTTAGTTGATTTTTAACCATTACCTGAAGAGTGAGTGAATGCTTGTTAGAATAGATTTCTTAATTCTGCTCTCTTTCAACAAAAGAAAAACTATGCAGTTTCAGTTTGTCTGTAAGCTCTCTTGAAATTTTACTCTTTTACAGTTCATTCTTAATGGACCGTTGTAACCCCTCAGACCGATACGGTCAACCCGATCCGATCCGGGGTGTCATATTAGGGCCACCGGAGCGACCCACCGTAAAAATAGCGGAAAATTTGAAACTTTTATTAAAACATTTAAACTAATAAAATGATTTATCAATATTCAGAAATAAAACAGGTTTTCAGACTCGTATATAAAACAAAATACAATTACATGCCCCCTAATCACATGTACCATACTCTGCAAACAACGCCGGAAGAACTCCCTTACTGATGTAGATAGATGTACTGGTACAATTCTTTTAACCTAAAAAGGGGAGTAACAGAGTGAGATTTGGAAAGCTCAGTAATACAAAACTACCAGATGATGCTGAAGAACTTGCAGATACGTAGAAACATATATTTCCTTACTTGTTCAGACATCTATATATTTTTAGGCTAAGCTGAGGTCCCATTGATATCTCAGGTAGTAACAGATAGTAAGCTTCCAGTTCAGAGGGAAATATTTCAGTTGATTGGGTTCAGGAAATTAGAATAGTTTATCTAGTATGTTCCCATTAAACCAGTGAAATGATACAGATCTCTTTTAAAATAGTAGCAATTTAAAACATATTTACCCTGTACACAAAGCAGAGGGGCCTATAAAAACAGTAAGGTCTTACCCTTGCAATATCAAAAGAGCTTGGGGAAATGGTATGGTCTTACCCTTGCACATAGCAAAGGAGCCTAGGAAACTATAAGGTCTTCCCCTTGCACACAACAAAGGAACCTGGGGAAACTGTAAGGCTTACCATTGCACATAGGAAATGAACCTAGGGGAAACTGTAAGGCTTACCCTTGCACACAACAAAGAAGCCTGGGGAAACTATAAGGCTTACCCTTGCACACAACAAAGGAGCCTGGGGAAACTGTAAGGCTTACCCTTGCACACAACAAAGGAGCCTGGGGAAACTGTAAGGCTTACCCTTGCACACAGCAAAGGAACCTGAGGAAACTGTAAGGACTTACCATTGAACATAGCAGAGGAGCCTGATGAAAACAGGGAAACCTGAAAACATATTTCCGGTAACCATAGTTCATAAAACCAGTAGATTCCATGATGTCATAAATCAGGAATAATTCATATTTTTCAGTGAAACCGAAATCGGAAAACATATAACATGTTGCCATGGTTCATAAACCAGTAAATCAATAATTTCGGTGAAACTCATTTAAAAACATATAAAATCTTCATGTAGTACATGTGGAACACACTAGGATATCCAAGTATTTCTTAGAGGATACTTGGTAGTTATTAGAATGGATAACATGAAACTGATGTAATTTGATCAGATTCCAGGAACAAGGTCCTATTGAAGGGAATCAATTGCTAACCGATCTAATACGACATTTAAGGTTGATACTTTAGAATCACACTATGATTCATGTGCATCAGGAAAGTGTCCAGGAACCTTTATACAAAATAATTCTAGATTCAGATTTACTGAGAGTGATTCTGTTACCCAACAATCAGAGGTATTCAGGAATATATATTGAATTAACACGATTTTAGTCCAATTGAACCAAATAGGATATTCAAAATCCTTTGCATCTGTGTTACTTATGTTTTCATATATGACCATAGTGATTTGAGTTAATAAGGAGAAACAAAGATTTAGGGCACTTATAATTTGTGTCGATCTATCGGATTATCGAAATAACTCAAGCTGAACAACTCCATAACTAATTCATGTTGACCGGTCTATTCGTTGCCCTTCCAGGTATTCACTCTTTAATACCAACAATTATTGTCCATAAATCATCTTTTGATTCATCACTGAATGGATCTTAAGAAGACGAACTGATATTATAATGGTCTTTATTTCATTTCCATGTTTCAACTATATCAGGAAATGCCGATGTACTTGATTTATGGTTCATAACCCATAGGGATGATACATCATGTAAGTTCATCTGAGTTTCCAGACTTATCTCAATCACTTACTTAATCCTTAGTCATTGAGGTTACTTAGTTAATTTAGTAGTCAAGTCTATCCCGGTTACTCCAGAGTTTTCCAGAGTAATTCGGACATTTCTGAATTTTGGATATATATTGCACTTCCGTTCAGTTTAATTTGGTATTAGTGGCTAATTTGTCTAACGAATATCCATTTCTTAGTACCGAATGCGCTCTAGAGTTGAGCTGAGTTGAGTATTCCAGCATTATCATCGATCCAAACTTGAGGAGATAAACAAGGATTCAAGTGGTATTTATGCTATTCATGTATTGACATAGCATTAGCGTTGGTCAACTCATTTAAGCCGAGTTCCATAACTTTTAAGGGTAGTACAACACCCATGTTTATTTAGATTCCTTAATTAATCCAAAATATTTATTTAGTCTAGTCCATAAGGGTATTTTGGTGCTCAGTTTTATTCCATTCATTTCAAAGCTCGAGGATATCCAATAATTCTTGAGCTTGGTGATATTCTTGGGTCATTTTCATTCTAGGGGTATTTTGGTTATTTTACAGATCCAGTGTATTACAATCATTTCTTTCTGTCCGATCTTATTATAAAATTTAAACTTATCATCTATTCCAGTCCTTTCGAACAATTCTTATAAAGGAGTACCCTCAATAATTTATTCTTCAAGTATTTAATCTTAACTCGGAGATTTTCGGGTCAAGTGACTTCTCAGATGTTACAAACAGGTTATCAGGAATTTTTTGTCTAAAGACATGATCTTGGTAATTAAATCTGTAATTTATCAGGTTCAGTACGAATTCTCAAGATACTTTCTCATTCACGATCAACTCGAACCATTTTCACTTATCAATGGCAATTTCATAATTTCATAATCAGATAATTTTGGTGTTAAACTCTTAACAAGGATAATATAATTTGAAGATCCTAAGGTTAATTGATTTCCCAAATAATCTCTTAACTTGAAATTATTCATTATCAAACTTCTAGTAATTTGTACAAGCCATCTTGGGTTTAGAAACCGGTTATCCATATTTTCTAAGCAAAACTAGCATTTACTATGCACATCAGTAGTTTCCTCAGATCAATATGTCTTTACAAAGTTCTTATCCAACTTCTAGGGTTAATTCCTATCTTTTTACAATATAAGGGTATTTTTGTAATTTTACCAAATCGAAATATTCTCATAATTTATCATCCAAATACCTTTAATGAGAGAAATTATAATTTACATATCCATGGTTGAATCTTTATTCACTTAATCCCAAATCTTGAAATTTAATTCCAACTGTCCTCCAATTTCTTATTTTAGTCATCTGAGTCATATTCAGTTACCTATTGTTTACCGCATTCATATCGAGTGTAGGAATTAATTAACTATCCAATAATTCCAAACATTTTCATCCATGCATTTACCAAAAACAACATGTTCCATAAAGCATGAAAAGGTAGTAATGTATTACCTCGATTTCTTTGCAATACTGATCGACCATATTAATTCCATTCGAACGTCCATGATCTTTAATTCAACTTCTTATAATTCCTAAAATACATAACCATAGTAATTTCATCAAAAACGGAGCTTAATTCTGAAAAACTGATCGAATCGAGTGATAAATAAGTGAAAAATAGCTTACCGGGTTCGAATTTGGCGAAACGGACCTAAAAACGGACTTAAGACGTTGAAAAACGTCAGGATAGGTATACCCGGAAAAGGTCAACGACGGTCAAAGGTCCGATCAACGACGGTCAACGGTCGGTCAACGAGTCGGGTCGGGTCGAACCGGACCAGGTCAGGTCGGGTCGGACTGGTCAAACCAGGTCAAACTGGTTTTTTTTAATTGCTGTCCACAAGCGACTACGCGTGAGGGCGCGTGCGGTGTCGTATGACGTCCCAAAAATTCCTTAAATTATTTTAAGGCATTTTGAGACACTTACCAATCTCGGTTCACAATTTTGAAC